TCGTCTTATCGCATCGTCAAGGGTTGAGTCTAATGTCGCTGACGGAACGCAAAATTGTCCCACGACATCTCTGGATGGGCATTTGGTTGATCTAAAATTAGACCCGTTAGCTAGCCCCTTGTTTGATGGAGACATGTGCAAATTGTTAGCGTTCAAAGATGCCTTTGAAACACTGGTACATAATTCGGCATACCCCGAAGCGTTTAAGTCGGGAAAACTTCGGCAGGCGGTCAATGCGGCTACTGTTCCTTTAATTGTTGGAATATATTCAGGTGGCTATCAGGAGGTTTGGAAGGCTCTCAAGGACCGCTATGACAACAAGAAGCAGCTAGCGAAAATACACGTATCCTGTTTTCTTAACCTCAAAACCGCTACCCATGAGTAATCGCATTCGTTATTGACTATTGTGGATACGGTTCATGAGTCGCTGCGTGCATTGCGTGTTATGGGCATCCCCATAAACCAGTGGGACGCATTAGCTGTACCAATCGTGATGGCTAAGCTTCCAGCCGTAACTAAGCGTGATTAGTGTATGAGGTGCTTCACTACAGAGATACCACAGCTAGAAGATCTATTGAAATTTCTGGAAAGACGTGCTCATAGCCTAGCTCCTGAACCATCGATCTCATTAATGGTTTGCCGACAGAAACGACCACTGAGCGCGCATGTGGCTACTACAGATGCCGCTGTGTGTGCTCATTGCGGGTTAGCGCATCGAATTGCCAAGTGTCCTGCAATAATGGCTCTTAACATCGAGCAACGATTTGAAGCCCTTAAGAGATTGAAATTGTGTTACAACTGTTTACGTTCGAGTCATTCCTATCGTCAGTGTTCGTCTGGTAATTGTCGAAATTGTGGTCGCAAGCATAACACGATCCTATGCCGAGACAAGTTCAACAAGACGTCAACGTTTTCTTCTACAACTACGCCAGCCGTAAGCATTGAGGTACCTGAGGAGGTGCCGACAACCATAACATCATGACTAGCCGCAACAGCGCGTGCATATGCCTTTGGAGACGCATCGGTTCAGCGAGTGGCACGAGTTCTGTGTGATCCCGGATCACAGGTTAGCTTTATAGCGAATCGTCTAGCAAGCTGTTTAAAGCAGTATCGACGAAAATGTGACTTGATGGTAGAAGGAGTACGTGCGACCATGAATACTAGAGTGAAAGGCAGCGTTATGTTCACTCTGAGATCAACAACATCTAATTTCGAAATGCTAATTGATGCATTGGTCTTATCGTYCATTACTTCACCGACTCCAGCAGTGAAGATTGACATGAACCAATGGMCATACTTWAGAGGCATAGATTTGGCGGACAACCAGTTTAGTACGCCTGGAATTATCGATGTTCTTATTGGCGCGGACGTGTGGGGGCGTCTCATAGAAGGTGGAGTCGTCGGTGGAAGACCAGACGAACCCTTTGCCCAGCGTACCCGCTTCGGATGGGTGGTGTTTGGTCCTGCAGCAGTGACCGATCCTGCAAAGGAATCATTGCTCACACTCACCACTTCGCTAGACAGGGAGGACCACCGGTTGGAGGAACTGGTATCAAAGTTTGGGCAAATGGAGGAAATAGCGGTGGTTGACGATCTGCCAGAGAACGAATGTGAGCAGATTTTCGATACCACTCATAGCCGTAGCCCAGACGGCCGTTATATGGTACATTTACCCTTACGGCGAAAGGCAACGAAACTGGGTGACTCGTACACACTAGCATTACAGCAATTTCATATACTAGAGCGTCGTGTGGTTGCGGATCCAGTCCTTAAAGAAAACTACATTTCATTTATGAGGGAGTATGCAAGACTTGGTCACATGTACAACCTCCTTACGATCACACCAATTGTTACTACATTCCTCATCATGCGGTCACGGCAAAGTTCGGCGTCGTGTTCAACGCTTCGGCACCTACTAGCACTGGAATCTCACTGAACGATGTTCMACTGGTAGGTCCAACACTTCAGGATTCGTTGAGTAGTATACTTTTACGTTTTCATCGCTATCGAGTGGCGGTAACTGGGGATATAGAGAAGATGATCAGGCAAGTGCTGATTGCACCTGAACATCGCGACTATCAACGAATTATATGGCGTGAGCAGACGATACCCGAGTATATCGACATGAAGACCATTACATATGGTATGCAGTCCATACAATACAGTACGAACCTTACAACAATGTGCTTATGACAATTGTGCTGYGGTTCCTGATATACAACAAGCGGCTCGCGCTCGAACTGCGATATTAACTTCGTTCTATGTTGATGACTTCTTGACAAGTTGTGAAAGCGTTAACGAAGCGGGTGAACTGGCTAAAAATGTGGACGCTTATCTGCGGGAAAGTTCACCTTAAGAAAATGGAACTCGAACGACAGTCAGGTGATGATGAGTTTATCTAATGTGCCGTCTCTTTCTAGCTATATCTTCCATTCTAGTGAGGCTTCCGTTTTGGGTCTAAGATGGAACGCACTGTCGGATCGGTTAATCTTTCGCCCCGATCTTCGTCAAAGAGGAGAGATACCCACGAAGCGCCGTGTACTCAGCGAGGTGGCACGACTCTTTGATCTTACTGGTTTGTTATTGTAACCGGGAAAATATTCATTCAGAGACTGTGGTCTGCTGCTCTATCTTGGGACTCACCATTACCTGACGATCTTCGCCGCGAATGGCTGAAGTATCGGTCACAGCTTTCGGAGCTTAATCAGATTCGAATTGAGCGGTGGATGGGCATGATTCCACGCGTTGAAATATCATTTCACGGGTTTCGCGATGCTAGCTCACACGCGTTTGCAGCCGTAATTTATGCGAAGACGTTCAACACAGACGGTTCTGTACGTTTCACTCTTCTGACGGCACGTACCAGGGTTGCACCACTCAAGGCTGCTACTATACCACGTCTGGAACTTGCGGCAGCGTTACTTCTTGCCGAAACATTCCAAAACTTGCGGAATTCTTTGAGATTAGTTGACGTTATCTACTATCTATGGTCGGACTCAGCTATCGTATTGTGTTGGCTGAGAAAGGATCCATCAGCACTAAAACCATTCATATCAAATCGTGTTTGCAGAATACAAGAGCTGACATCCCCACGCGATGGCATCACATTCGTTCGGCTCATAACCCAGCTGATTACGCCAGTAGGGGCGAGCTATTAGTTCATCCACTTTGGTGGCATGGACCTAAGGAGACAGACATGATTTATTTGGGAAACAGGGCACGCTATTCTACTAACTGATCGGTTCAGTAATATCACTCGATTGTTGGGAACGGTGGCCATTATCCTACGTTGGTTGAGAAACCGTTGACACCTTCGCCAACCGGTTATCAGTGCTCCAGAACTGGACGGCGCACTGTACGCTATAATCCGTTTAGAGCAAGAGGAACATTTTGCAGATGAAATCCGTCAATTAAAGTCTAGTTCAGGTTTGGCATCTTCCAGTCGAATAATGCCTTTAAAAACATTTATAGATAAGAACCGAATCCTACGTGTTGGAGGACACATTCACAAGGCCGAACTAGGACATGATCAACGATTCCCTATTATTTTGCTAAAATGGACGACGTTGGTCAAGCTTTTACTACATCAGGCACATGAATCTACACTACATGGAGGAACAAAACTCATGCTACACACTCTTCGCTTCTGGATTATGAGTTCCAGGCAAGCATCGAAGGTTTCATCCATAACTGTTTAGTGTGTCGGCGTAACAGAGGGGAAAAACTTAAAGCAGCAAATGGCTTCCTTACCCGGGCAGAGGGTTAGATCCGCTAGACCATTCATTTCATCGGGTGTAGATCACTGTGGACCTTTTACATTACGAATCGGAACGAAACATTGTCGAACGCTTATCAAAATGTATCTCGCAATTTTCGTTTGTACGGCCACCAAGGCTGTACACATTGTGGTTGATGATCTATCGGCATAAGCATTTTTAGATGCCTTCACTCGTTTCGTCAGCGTTTGTTGGCGCCAACCGACTCTTGAAGGAAGTCCTCGCAGCAAGGCAGGGTGAGAATAATCAGCAATCATTAGCAAATTCAGGAACGAAATGGCATTTCATTACACCCAGTGGGCCACATCAAGGAGGCCTCTGGGAGGCTGCAGTGAAGTCCGCTAAGCACCATTTGACACGATGCGTAGGCGCGCAGGTCATGTGGTACAGTCAACTGCAGACATTGGCTGTAAGAATAAAAGCCTGCCTCAACTCCCGTTCTATTACACCACTTTACGACGACCCTGAGGAGAAACTTGCGTAATCGCCTGGTGATTTCCTAATTGGGTCTCCGCTACTGGCGGTCCCCGAACCAGATATCAAACATATCCCTAGCAACCGACTGAAGCAATGGCAATGGATACGCCCAAATACAGCAGATATTTTGGCAGCGATGGAGTGAGGAGTATCTCACCATTCTGCAGAGACGAAACAGATGGCTTCGGCGCACAACAAATCTAAGGATGGATGATATCGTCCTAGTCAAACAAGAGAACCTGCCTCCAACCCACTGGTGCCTGGGTCGAGTGACAACAGTACATCCCGGAGCTGGTTGTGTCGTCCGCAATGTCACTTTGAAAACCGCTATGTCTGTTGCTTGAGAAGGAGGATTTCGAGTCGACCGACTCGACCGGGCAGGATGTTTAGGATTATTTACATTAATTAAGTTTATTTTCTAAATAATGTTAAGTCTTATCTGGCAAATACTGTTTTATCTAAGCTTTCTACTTCTAATATCTCTTTATCATTCATTTCTGTTTGTTATTATCTTTGTTTGTTAATATTTCGAAGTTACGGTATTTTAAATTCCTTTGCACTCCTATAAATACCGGAGGACAAGTAAGTACAATCTCTTCTACTCTGATTGTAACTCAGTGCTGATGGTACTCATCTCAATAAAGCATTGAGAACTCTACCCGCTGGTAAAATTAATTGTTTAACAATGTATATGTATAATATGTGATTTATATTTAATAAAAGCCGAAGGTCCTGGCAGCCAGTGCTCCTTTTTTTCGTGTAAATAAAAAATTTTATTATTTTTTTTTCACATTTATAAATAAATAAAAATATTTAATAAACACATATAATTAAAACTCTATGATAATATAGTATTATAAAATTTATTTATTTATTTCGGGATGACTGAAGTACTTTCGCGGAGTACTCCTTTCTGCGTTAAAAATAAAAAATATATTGAGTTTTTGTTATAAAGTGGTTAAAATGGTTATATTTGTTGGTTACCATGCACTCATATTGAAATAAAATTTGACTTTTCGTTATAAAATGGATAAAATTTAGTTATTATATCTGTCAGCGATTTCCATTTATTTTTGATTATACATTGTTTTGTATTTTAGGTGACGACACATCCATTTTTATATTTAAAATGTGAATTTTGGATATAAAGTGGTTACATTTGTTGGTTACCATGCACTCATTGAATAATTTGATAATAATACTAACCACACATGCACACAATATAATTATGTAAAAGAAGAAGTCCGAATCTTGTTTAGTTATAATAATTTATTTAATATGATATGATTTGCATGCATATTACTTTTATGTCATGTATTCCGATGTTAAAAAGGGAAATTAGTACCCAAAATATTTATCGCGCAAGCTCGTCGAATCATGTCAGTGTCGACTTGACCTTAGCGCGCAGGATCTATACTTCGGGCCGAAAGGTACTTTGCGAATAGTGTCGAATGGTGTCGTCGCGGCGCACTGAGGAAGCGAAAGTTGATGTCTGATTGAGTATATGGCGAAAGTGTCGAATCAAATGTATCTGCTTTCTCCTTGTCCATCCTTTTTGATGAGTGAGTGTATACATACATATGGTGAGTTGTGTTGGTGTCATCAGCTGTGGTGAGTTAAGCTGTCTTATTAGAGTGCGCCAGTTTTCGTGGGTGGACACTTAACTGATTTAAACACTCATATTGAAATAAAATTTGAATTTTCGTTATAAAATGGATAAATTTTAGTTATTATATCTGTCAGCGATTTATTTTTGATTATACATTGTTTTGTATTTTAGGTGACGATACATCAATTTTTATATTTAAAATATGAGTTTTGGATATAAAGTGGTTATATTTGTTGGTTACCATGCACTCATATTGAAYGAAAATTTGAATTTTCGTACTGTACTAATATACTTTACACTTTATTACGTAATATTATTGTATAACATTACTAATACATGTATATAATATTACTTATTTGCTTAATAAATTTAAAAAAGAAAATATCCATATGCATGAATAGAGGAATTTTTACGAAAAAGAAGAATTTCAGCGAATTGCCTTATCATCACATGGCAGCGCTCCATTTCGTCGTAATTTTTGGTAAAAAAATGGGGTTAAAACGAGTGTAAAATGTAATTTAATTTAATTTAAAATGCAGATATTTTAGGTAAAAATCCTGCTAAAAGTGTAAGATATGGAGTTATTTACAAGTTTATAGTKTAATTTAATTAATTTGAAGTGAAAAATGTGAATAAAGTGTGTTTAATATGGTGAAATAGCGTCTTGAAATGTACGAATTTTGCGAATTTTTGAACTTTAAGGTCGAATATCTCCTAAACTAAGCGTTTGCGGTACCTATAACCCTATATATTTTTTAATTCTCTTTCCAACGGTACCTTCAGATCGCGGCGCCAAAGAAATCGGAATTGTGCCGTTTCGATTTCATATTATGCACTTTTTATACACTTCCTACATCCTAAACACATAGAGCGCGACAGACTGCCAGCGATATCTGTCAAAAATTAAAATACACACATTCTTAAGGACACAGATATTTAAACAGCTGCACGACTACTCGACTGTAGGCCGTCAGATAGGTAACTTCAAAATATACTTAAATTTGCCGACGATAGTAGAGAGGAGTAATGCCATTAATATATTAACTCTGCCTACTAAAAGAGTGTGTAATTGTGCTTGCTAAGAAGAATTAAATAATTTTGGTGGGAGAAGGCAAAAAATTACAAAATCCGCTTATCAATCCGAATAATCCAAAGCGTAGGTAATCAGATGTATTGGAGTGCAGAAGCAGCAACTTACAACCAGGAATAAAGGGATGTTCAACTTATTCCAGTGTGAGAGCGCCTCAAAATAAGGGTTTTTTTTATAACATTTTCCGTTATGGCCAGATCGAACAAACTAAGAATTTTTGGGCGTTTTAAATTAAAACACC